TGAAGTATTCCTATTTTAGTTGCATTATTGTGCATATAAGTGCATATACAGACATGTAAACACCTAAATCAAACTATAACTGTCATGTAGGACATTTTGCCACTTTTTGCGACAGGATAGTTTTTACACACACTGTTTGACACTATTCTTCGCAACTACCGAGTCAGAAAAGGACAAAAGACATCCGCGTCATGAAATGTGGAGGTTTTTTTTCTTTCTATTCTCTGTGAAGGAATCAAATTCTATTAAAACACCAGTCCTTACTTCATGATCACATCCAATATCTCTGTTCGTCACGTGGGCATGAATGGAAGGTTCCTGAATGAAAGTGAAACTGTCGAACTGCAGTTAAAGTAAAAAAATAAAATTGAAACATAAAATTACATGAAATTGCGGAGGAAATGCTGGATAGCATGGTGACACAACAACATTAATCAATCTACGCACTATAACATGTAAAACGGGATCATGATAGAAACATTCAAAAAGCAACTCATGTAAACACCTTAATCATGTTATTGTCTTATTCAGATTAAGAAAATAATTTGATTACTGTAAACCTAGTGTTTCAGATCAGAGAGAAAGATATTTTGATTATTGTTTGTTACTGTGTCCAGATTTTCCCCTTTATTGACCATTGACTGTTTAAAGAAACAGCTTTGTGATTTTGAATTATATACGTCTTGGAATTTTGTATATTGTATATTTTGTATACTTAGCTTTTACCATTTTAAGAGAAGTATGGGAGATGATGCCATTTTACTTTATAACTGTTTGTATTGCTTTTCTTTAGGGAGTTGGGTAAGCTAACTTGGATTTTATTTTATTCTGTTTGCATGTAATGTGATTTTTTATTCGGTACACCTTACTAGTACCGGGTTGGACACCCTTTTGTCATCAGAACTGCCTTAATCCTTGATGCCATAGATTTAACAAAATACTGGAAATATTTCTCAGAGATTTTGACCTACGTTGACATAGTAGCATCATTCAGTTGCTGCAGATTTGTCAGCTGCACATCCATGAAACAAATCTCTCATCCCACCTCATTCCAAAGGTGCTCTATTGGATTGAGATCCGGTGAGTGTGAAGGCCATTTGAGTACACTGAACTCATTGTCAAGTTCAAGAAACCAGTCTGAGATTATTCATGCCTTATGACATGGCGTGTTATCCTGCTGAAAGTAGCTATTAGAAGATGTGTATACTGGGGTCATAAAGGGATGAACATGGTCAGCAACAATACTCAGGTAGGCTGTGGTGTTCTCAGGTAGGCTGTAGGCTCCGTCGGGCACCAACAACAATGCCAAGTTCAAAGTCACTTACCCATTCTGATGCTCGGTTTGAACTGCAGCAGATCGTTTTGACCATGTTTACATGCCTAAACGCATAAAGTTGATGTCATGTGATTGGCGGATTAGAAAATTCTGTTAACTAGCAGTTGGACAGGTGTACCTAATAATTGGCTGGTGAGAGCATAAAACACTTTACATATCTTTCTGATTTGACACATTCTTTTATATATAATCATTTAATTCAATTTTTTCTTCATTTTCATAAAAAATACCCCTTACTGTTACATCTTACCTCTAGCGGTTGTAACAGAAAGCTGGGAGCTCACCCATACGTCAGCAGAGTTTAGATTCTCCTCATCCATATTCTTAAAGAGCGTAATCCATAAAGTCCAGGCAACAGCTTCAGGTCTGATGAGATCTTTACACGTGTGCGAGTGGTAGATCAGTGTTTGCCCATAAACCCAGAGTAATAACTCCACTCTCCTCTCCAACTCTCCTCTCCCACGCTCTTTCCTCTCGCTCCACACAGACGAATCTTTATGATGAATGGAGTGAAGGGGCTGCCCCGCCGCTTTAATGTGATTGATGGGGGAAACTGGCGCTCGGCTAACAGCTACAAGCCACGGTGTGGGCATAAATGCCCCAGATAGAAGCACAGAGCACAGTCAGCATGGCAGAGATGATTTGATAGAAAGGAGAGCGCGGTCATGCTGAAGGAGAGAGATTAATTACACTAATATGAGGAGGAGGCTGAGCAAGGGCAAACAGCAGGAGACTCTGAGGAAGCCGTCAGGAAGTGTCTAATATGACTACAGGACTCTGAGTGAACGGGAGATCGGTAACAAACAGCACGTCTCTGCTGAGATCCAGTGCCCAAAATAAAAACATTTAAGTGCATGTGATGAAAGTAATACAGTGAAGCTGCTTCTTAATGTCTAAACTTCACCTCAAGAATGTTCTCATATGACATTTAAAACATGGATGAGTTTATCATGAACTCAATCCTGGACATCAGCTTAAATAAGTGGACACCAGTTGCACACGTGACTTTGTGGCCACTGGACTAATGTATTCAATATATATTGATTGTGTAACCATTACACATTGATTGTATGAATTTACAGTAAGCTTCATATAAACAATGACTGTGTGCAAGGAAATAGCTTTGTTCTAAAACATGCTGTCTACTACCTATATAAGCAGCTGCATTTTAAAGACCAGCATGTTTTTTAGTTTGCATATCAGACATATTTGGTCAAAAGAACAGTGAATGCCTCATCTGATTTTTCTAATTGCATTACTTAGCTTATCCACAAAGTTGATTCAGTCAACACTAAATCAGTCTGTTGTTTCACAGTTAGAAAAGAAAAAAATGACAAACTATTAAAAAGGCCACAAAAAACATAAATAGGTGTTTAAGCCTACATTTTTGTGAAAATGCAAAAACAAACTTTAACATAAGTTTGACTGCAGTTTATAGGTAAAATTAATGCTATAGGGCAATGTGATGCCAAAAGCTTTTGTTCTTTTTCTCTTTAATTATATCTAGAGAGACATATTATCCACAAAAAAAAGTATTTTAATTTCTTAGCACAACAACAAATAAATACCACAAAACCACTTAACGTTGTCTATGATTTTTGATCATGTACATATGCTTTACCCATCTCCATATGGACAACTCAAAGTTACAGTATAGCCCCTTTCACACATAGAGACCTTTTTCAGAAGGGATCATGTGTGAACAGGCTCATTTTGAAAATACCAGTAAATTCGTTTCGGCAATTTTCCAGAAAAAGAAGTTGTAACATTACCGGTAATTTGCTGGAATGCTGCTCTGTGTGAACACAGAAGGAAAGAGCGTGTTCACGTTTCGAACACGCTGACATTTATACGTATTCACATTTGCGTTCTTAATGAAAATAACAGCCTTTGAATGTTTTTCCAGACACATTTAGCTGCAAGATGTTAGTCAGATAACGTTTCAATGTTCCTTCTTAATGTCATCTGTGTAAAAAAAGTAATGATAAAATGATAAATCACTGTTTGTTTACCTAAAACATCCTTGACTGTGTGAACAGTGCATTTTTTAATTTAACCGTAAGGTCCTTCTCGATATTTACTGGTATCACTATCTGGTTGCAGTGCACTTTTCTCTTACATTTGGCTTTGAAAACACTATTGGTTAGGTTTAGGGATGGGTTTAGTGTACATGTGTCAAACTCAGTTCCTGGAGGGCCGCATTTCTGCACAGTTTAGTTCCAAACCTGATTAATTAAACCTGACAAAACTCATTTAGTCCTTTAGTCTTGTTTGAAACCTACAGGTAAGTGTGTTGAAGCAGGGTTGCAACTAAACTATGTAGGGCTGTTGCCATTCAGTAACTGAGTTTGACACCCCTGGTTTAGTGTATTGTTACAATAAGCCCCACCTTCTTGTGAATGTATACAAGAATGACATGCAGCTGAAACGTAGCAGAGCTTGAAAAAAAAAACATACCCTAGGCAATGTATTTCAGATTCACAAAAATGTAGAACACCCTCTGGTGGATTTGTTACTGAAACGTGCAATGAAATACACCTGGAGCAACATACATCACATTTTGCAAAAAAAAAGGAAGAAGTTGGCCGGGCACGTATTTCCAACGAACCTGAGCTAAAACATTTTTGATTCATATAGTAGTGAGTGCAATAGTGTGAGGGCATGAAAATATGTTTAAAACAAGTGCAAACACTTTTGAAGAGAAAAAGACAGAAACTGGATTGATCTTTCTAGGGAGCATCTGTCAAGTGCCTGTCTACACGTATGCTATGCAAATAGAGTATATTTGAAGGCCTGTGCATTCAGCTGTGCACAAACATAAAAATAAATCATAAGTGAGATGGAATATGATACGGGAGGTCAAAATCAGTGCCAGATTTATGAACTGGCAGGCTGTATCTCAATTTCCAAGCCCAAATGCTCCATTAAATGTCAAAACAACTTAATATTTATATACAGTACATGTAAAGTAAATGAAGATCTTTAACCAAAGTTGTCCTGAAACTATTTAACAACACTCATTCTTGTATCAGAACATTTTTTTTTTTAAATTACTACTGTACACTCACAATGTCAGGATACAGAAACAGAGAGAGAGTGAGATTAGCAAAGACAAATAAACAAAGTAAATACGAATTCAAAACAAAATTGTCATGATGATAATCATGAACAAAGCATAAACAAACTGAAAACTATTAGTTAAAGGGTATTTCAGGAACTAAATAACTAAGTACGAAACTTTCCTACAACTGAAGAAACCAAAAGAAACTGAGAAAACTGGCAGTCCAAGTCGGACAAACAAACTGAAAGTGAAACTTTGTATGATTATTTACTTAATTTTTATTCTTACAAAGAAAATAATTACTACAAATGTGTTCTTTTTTTAATGTAGTGTTATTTGCATTTTTGGATTAACTATACTGCTGAACTCTTTGTAGTGCATCTTAGAATCATCTTTATTTTTAAACCTACATTGAATGCTACCTCAGAATCTGTTAAATGAGATATTTTCAAGGCAGAATACCTTCTGGAATACTGTCTTCATTTCAAAAGCACATCTGTGATCCCTTAAAATGCTGCTCACTAGTTTTAGTGAAGCATTCTGGAACAATAAAAATGCAGTCAGCTGTTTCTAACTGAGTTTTGGAGAATTAAACTGACTCACCAGGACTCCATTGTCTGCGACTGCTTCTTTGTAGGTGAAGTTACAAACGGCCCAGGCCAGGTAATACGTAGACATGCGGGGCGTCCTGGAGAAATGGTTGGTCACCCATCCATCCCCATCAGATGTGGTGGCCTCCACTGGCATGTTGGACAGCGACTGATACGAGCTCTCGTGTTTCAGACTCACTCTGAATGTGGCTTTATAGATGGGCTCATCAAAACACGGGAAGGCCTTTCTAGCGTGAGTCGGAGAAAACTGCGTCACCGCCAGAAACCTGCAGAGGAAAGAAAGGTGAGATGAAATAAATCTCTGGAATATTTATATGTGTGATTGAACTATTCTAAGATTCTGCGGTGAAAAGTCATTTCACCTCAACTTCATTAAACTGGATGTCACATGACTTTCCTGAATGCAAATGAGCTCAGACTGCCATCACTAGACTCATCGCAGTGCATTTTTATCACACTAATGAGCTTCCTGGCATGAAGATAGAGAAAATTATTTCACCACGACGACTAAATTGCATCAGATGTCGACATATAATAAATAACACCAAAAATATTAGACAGAAATAATGGTTTAGCTGATATCTGTAAGCAATCTGACAGCTGTAAACATCACAACCATCAGTGATGCACAAACAAAATTGACAAAATAAGGCTATTTAAATGACAAGAAAATAATAAAAAGCTGTCAAACCGGTCTTGCATTGGTGTCTTTGAAGTGAAATAAAAATAATTAATCAAAATAAGAATCTGAACCATAAGCAGCTATAGTTTTATGTGACTTGCAAAAATTCAAACATTTCCCATTCACTTTCCTTAAACTGGAATGACATACAACAAATATAAGTATAAGTATAATCTGTTGTTAACTGGTGTTAAAGTAATTGTTAAACTTTTTAAATCACTAAGTTGACATTTTCCGCTTTAGCTTAACATTCTTACATTCTAAGAATTGACACAATGAATCTACTAAATGTCATGTCTCAATGCCTTCCAGAGTTTCCCACCAGAAGAAGTGGCATCACTTGAAGCAAGTCAGACATTTCTTTAATCTATCAGTGCTTTACAGACTATATGTCTGTAATCAGTATAACTGAGTTGACCAGAACATAGGGACAGACAAAATATATTTTTGTAGTCCTGGGAAAAAATTAATTTCGATTAATCACATTCAAAAATAAAAGTTAATTTTGACAAAATTTAAGTGTGTTTACTGTGCATATTTATTATGTACATATGTATATACACTACCTGACATAATTCTTGTCGTCGATCCCAGTTCTAAGAGCAACAATAAATAATTTGACTTCTAGTTGATCATTTGGAAAAGTGGCAGAAGGTAGAATTTTCTGATGAATCATCTGTTGAACTGCATCCTAGTCATCTCAAATACGGCAACAAATATGGCAACATCAACAGCCTGAGGTATCAACACATTTGTGCTGCCCATTAAATTACAAACCACAGAAGAGGGCAAATTCTTCAGCAAGATAGCACTCCTTCTCATACTTTATCCTCTACATCAAAGTTCCTAAAAGCAAAGAAGGCCAAGGTGCTCAAGGATTGGCCAGCCCAGTCACCAGACATTGAGCATGTCTGGAGTAAGATGGAGGAGGCACTGAATATGATTCCAAAGAATCTTGATGAACTACTGCAAGAAAGCTTTCTTTGCCATTGCAGATGACTTTATTAATAAGTTATTTAAGTCACGGCAGAGATGTATGGATGCAGTCATCCAAGCTTATTGGAGTCAATCACAATATTAATTCTTTTTCGACTGCACCATGACTTTATATTTTATACTGTACATTATTTCTGTTAAATGACAAGACCTTTGTCTAAGCAAAGTCAGAACTTACTGTCCTAATTAAATAATTAAAAATCAGATTTTATTTTGGTAAAATAAGCACAATCTAGAGGCTGTTGCCTTTCATATAAGCAACTTCTAATACCAAATGATCAACTAGAAGTCAACTTATTATTTGTTGCTCCCAAAACTTGGATAGGCGGCAATGTTTATGAGAATATAAGAAAATATTAGCAAACACAAAAATCATAGATAATACAGAAAGAAAATTTATTTTAAAAACCATGATTAAAAAGTATTTTATGATAACTGAAGCTGAACGTATAATCATGGAGGCAGAGACAATCAATAATAAGTGGGAGTCTCTAAATTAATGTTAATTTAAAAAGACAAAAATGTATCTAAATACACATACAAACAGTATTTTATGGATAACCTTGATATAATTCTAATGATGCAGAATTGCTTCATTAAAGTTTTTGAAAAGTTAGATTTTTTGGGAAATGCAAAATGTAAAATCATCTACTGTATATTTGTGAAGTTTATAAGTGAATATTACTTGCCAGCAGCTATCACTCTTACTTTCAAGACGCTATCACTTTGCTGTTCTCACATGGTTGCCCACTAAAGCTAAGCAGTGTTGAGCCTGGTCAGTGTCTGGATAGGAGACCACATGGGAAAAAAACAAGGCTGCTGCTGGAAGAGGTGTTACTGAGCACAGTCTTTCAGATGAGACATTAAACTGAGACCGTCACATTAAAATACTTTGAAGTCATTAGAGTAGAGGTGTGTCTCCGGCATCCTAACCATGCCTATATCTACTAATTGGCTTCATCACTCTGCAGTCTGGCACGGAATGTCTGCCATTGTTTCATCCAGGTGGATGCTGCACACACATGGTTATAGCTGAGGAGATTCCTCCCAAATGTGTAAATGTGCTAGAAAATGCGCTACATAAATGTAATGGATTATTATTATGATTATTACTAAAGTGTGATTATTATAATAATTATTATACATCAGAAAATGTGGTTTTGAGAGCTCCATTACAGATATCTGCATTAATGAATATTAAAGCTGTCACCACCCACAGCTTGACCAGCAGAGCGTTCTGTTCACTCCTGCTTTTCTGTCACTTTTTACTCTCATTAGTGGCCATTCATGCACTAATAATCTAGAATGAGCCTATAATGTCCCATCTGTTTACATCTCCTCTCTATTTATAGATACTTAAAATTATGTACAGTATTTAAAGATCGCATTGGGGACTCAGGTAGGAGGAATCAGACTAGCAGACATCCTGAAGGAGAATCTGCAGGGACGTCAGACTGAAAATCCCTGCAGTGTCACACGTGGAGGTGTTTGAGTTGGGTGGAGATGTTTTCTGCCTGTTCATGTGTGAGAAAACATTTCTGGTAAAAGTCAGGATAAACCAGACCATCAGATGTCGGATTAATGCTCCAGTGCCCACGTCTAACTACATAAACACAGGTATTTTCTCAATCCTGCGAGATCCTGCAGTTCATGGTGTTCAGGAAATACGAGCAGACAGCAGGAGCCGATTACAGTAAACTAGATGATCTTCAGAGCCCGTGGAGCTGAGAGATGCTGTCTCAACATAAACATGCAGAATTTATTTCAGAGACGCTCTTAATATTAAGACCTCAGCCTGCGCTGGAAAAAAGCTTTTGATGAAGAATCTTTTCTGTGAACCCGGTACATGCTGTGTTTACAGCGGAGACTGAAGCTTCAGCAGTTTCTGCAAAGGCAGAAAGGAAACTAGTAGATGGACAGAAGTGTATCCATGAAAGCGAACCCTTCAGGGTAAAACAAAGCTTAAACATGTCTCAAATACAGGAAAACCTGGGGCAAAGATTCAAATATCAGCCAGTTTCTCTCAGAGGACGAAGAGTCAGAAGCCGCAAAACAGGAGCAAGAAGCTGATATTCAGTGCGGCTGACCTGAAATAACTGGATATATAAGGCTGAAAAAAACTAGAAAATACTGTAAAGTTGCATAAAATAAGCTTTTGGTAATCACTAACTCTATATGAGTTATTTAGGATTACATACAGTAGAATATTTTCAAAAATTAACATGGTTTAATATTACTGTTTGTTTAACTGAATAACAGTATAGCTGCATGATTACACTTAAATAGTTCCTTTAAGGTTACCCTAATGTAAATGTGTGAATTTTTATGACTCGGTCTCAATGTCTTACAGTAAAATAATTTTTGAATGTAGAATCAGACACTGATGTGACTGCAGGACAAGTTTGACTATAGTGTTCATTCAGATCTGTGTGACCTCTGACTTCAATGAAGGATTACAAATAGCTTCTGTCTCAGACAGACATCGGGGGGAAATAGTCATGTTAAAAGTTACAGGTGGACTGCCAAAGCCCAAACTTTTTTCTTTTTCTTAAGCACATGATGCATTTGTAAAACTTGTCACCACTATGTTGCATTTAACAGTTGATTTGCCTTATTCATAACACATCAAAAATCCATCCACGATGATACAATTCCCTCACAAAACAAACAGATAACTATTAACCTCAAACAGAATTGAATGTGTATTTTCCCCAAAAAGATTGATCCTTCTATAATGAAAGATTGAACAGTAAAAAGTCTACTGTATTTGATTGAGATCCCATGTTGCTTGTCCTGCTCTACTGTTGAAATGTACTGCTCTATTAGGCATTCCGGTGCAATTAGCCCTAAAACAAGTATGGAACTGAGTAATGCTTACATGCACATACGAACACCATGCAGCATCTGTCGTTCCCATGGTAACTGTTAGTAAATCTAAGCAAGATGACACCTTATGAGAGGCTTTAAAACTGATACTAAAAACAGCTTTTACCTTCTTTCTCCATTGAGCATGTAGGAGCTGCGGAAGAAGCCCAGCAGCTCGTGCTCGATGTGCGCGGTGAAGGTGATGTTGATCTTGTATGTTCTGAGGGGCTTCATCTCTCTGTGCAGCGCGATCACATACACCTGTTTGGGCTGATAGTGGAAGCGGCGCTGGATCCGCATGGCGCCCGCTTTTTTACTGTCCGAAAACACCAGCACTTTGTCCAGCTCCAGCCGGTCCGAGTGCAACACGATCAGCTTGGTGGAGTTGACGCACTCAAACTCGATGTTCACCTCGCCGGAGAAGCTGAAGTTCTCCATGTGCACGGTCAGGCGGAGGTCGTAGTGGCGCGGGCGCAGGGTGGCCGGTAAGCGCAGGTGTCTCCAGGGCTGCTGGCCGTCCTCCGAGTCTCTGTGACTGATGTTCCCGTCCCGGGACTGTTTCCACTTACTGTTGCTGGAGCCGTTGGCGGCCAGAGCCCCGCTGCTCTCCGCGGCGCATCTCTCGAAGCTGACGCTGAGCGTGATGGCGATGGCCGTGACGATGATGAGGGTGAGGATGGAGATGGCGAAGCCCAGCACTAGTCTCTTATGCACCGTGATGTGCTGCTCGGTAGTCCGGGGTCGGACCACCACGCTGTCGGCCCACTGATCGGACAGAGCCCGTCCGTTCCTCATGCCCGTGTCCTCGATGCCCATTATATGCCCGATCTGATGTGTTTCATATTCATCATCAGCCTCCGTTCGTGCGCTGCAGCTCACGCTGATTTAAAGGCGGGAAATGCCGCAAAGATCCCGCGAAAAAAGCTTGGGACAGAATGAAAGAGCCGCTGATCGATGAGCTCGAAACTGGAAGAGAATCTGAAGTTCGTTCGGTCAGATGCTGGAGCTCATCGGGTCCTACCGCACAGCCATTTCTCCTCGGACATCGGTGAGATGTGGATGAAAGTCCAGCACCTACTATATGATCAGTGGAGAGAGTGTTGTGAATCTCTGTTCTCACTCTTCATCTCTCTATCCTCCATCCTCAGCCCTGCTTCTCTATCTATGCTGCTGCATCCTCCCTTTCAGCCAGTGGGCTGTGCGCTCTCGCTCTCTCTCTCTCTCTCTCTCTCTCTCTCTCTGAGAAACTCACTTCAGTAATAGCTTCTAAATCTTATGTTCAGTTAAATCTCATTTAATTAAACAGCAAAATATCCAGACAGGCTGATGGGACTCTTTCATCCAACCAAGAATGCTGAGTTGCACAAATACGAAACAGAACCACATAACTTACAACAAATTAAATAAAGGGGAAAATAGACATGTATTTCAGGCACGTCCATGTCAAAATCGTACACACATTTTCAACACAGTTGATTAGAACATGTCTGCTTTCATAACCAAAAAAAAAAAAAAATGATGTGTTATGATTAATTCGTTTAGGACCGTAAGAAGACAAAATCGTCTTCATTTTCAGCAGATATAATCAATGTGCAATCAGTACAAGTACCTGCCAAGTTTTCCGCATCACTATTACACATTGTGAGCTGCACCGGTGTTTTGAATGCTGCTGTCCATGGTGCTGAATCAAACAAGACCATTAATCAGTTTCACGCACCTCTGCACCACTAGACGGTGCAGTAGCCTCAACAGAGCCGATAATAATCGTTTTCACAGAAGCGGTGTTTTCTACCTGTTCATCCCAAGAAGTCCACCCTCAAAAGCTTTCTAAAGTGACCTTCATGTGCTCTTCTTTATATTTCACACCTCTCATTCATCTCAGTACATCTGTCATTGTTCCAAGAAAAGTGGTGGCTCTTTAAACAATATGACTGCTCCAAACACCAAATAACACCCTCAATTTGCAGCCGTTGGCATGGCTGGTTAAACAGCACAGCGAGAAGAGAGCGGTGAGCGTGTGAAGAGACCCTTGAAGGAGCCCAAAGAGAGAAGGAGAGCTGGAAAGATGACAGGATGCTGAAAAAGAGAAAGAGGGCTTTGGAGTTCAAATGGTTTTATTCACATTTGAAATTCTCTAAACTAGAACGGACAGGAAATGCATTTAGATTCCCATTCGATCAAGATCCACTTACCCCCTTAACCCCAATGGAATTTAAAACCTATTTTTATGAAATAATGGGGCAGAGATTGAACGTCCACGAATGAATGTGAGATCTCCAGATTGAATGAAAATGTAGGCGCATTTACAGAAAAAATAAGCAATTTCCACGAGGCTTCTGAACACAAAAGCCTGTGTCGAGGTTGTGAAATGGTTTGTGAACCAAAAGCCTCCTGTTGAATGAAAACATACAACACAAGATCAGTGTGGAGAGACTGTGAGGGGGGCTAATTGAATAAAAGATGTCAGAAAAAAATGTCCTTGAGGGCAGCTGTGACTGCCGGCACACAGAGGGTCATTTCTGCTGATAGAAGAGGAAAAAACACTCTCACAGTAATAAAAGAAAAAATAGCTAGTTTATAATGTGGCAACTATACAAGCAGAGGAGAAACACATCGCCCCCTGCAGTTGACAAGCAACATTACATTTCTCAATTAAAATAACTTTCATCTGCTGAACCCAAAAGAAGATATTTTGAAGAATGGTGGAAACCTGCAACCATTGACTTCCAAAGTATTTGTTTTACCTACTGAAGTCAATGGTTACAGCTTTCTAAGAATCTTTATCTCATCTTAACTCATAAAGGTGAATGCGAGTAAAAACTGGGTAAATTTACCTTTCTGAACCATTTACTGTTTTGTAATTTAAGGTAGATTAACTTTAAAATCATACATAAAATTTCAATAAAGATAAAGAATTAGGTTAACATTTGATAATACATCCAAATTCTTGGTTGTGCAGGTCATAAAACACAATATTTTAAGTACTTCCAAGGAAGAAGCAAACCAGTGCTGCAGACTTGACGCAGTTCTGTCAAAAATGAAGAGTCTGCCATCAATCATCTCAAACAATAATCTCTGGGGAATGTTTTTAGCACTTTGCCACGAAGAATAAAACATCTTTTAAGTGAGTGGACGTGTTTTGTTTTACGACTTGAATGTGTATCATATGTCCTAATAATGAATTCCTGGCTGGGAGGTATACAAGTTTATCGTGTGCCCATGTGATATGCAGTGAACACACCTAGGTGCAGGACCTTTGGATATAGGACTGATTTGTCTGAGCACATTCTTTTATTACGCAATCAGTCCATTTGGTCAGTTCCACTCCATGTACATTTGAACAGGCAGGGATACTTTGCACTTTCTGTGGCTGACTGCTAGCTTTCTTTACATGGTCCTAGATTAGTTCTTCACTTCAACACTTCCTGTTCTACTCTAAGGAGATATTCGGTTGAGAATAATGAAATCTGCCGGGCAGAGTTCAGCTTCAATACACTTGTCTAAAGGTTTCTAGTGAGTCTGAAGGCCTTGATTAGCTGGTTTAGATGTGCTTAATCAGGAAAGCGTCCTCTAAAAATAACAAAAAAGTAAAGTGTCAGTTTATGTGTGTCATCATAAAAAAATGTATGACAACATTACCAATTAAAAGCAGGATTAATGAAGGGCAATGTATGAACTTTTTAGATAGTCCTTAATAATTGTCCTTGTTCCAGTTCACAAAATGTACACAGGCACATTTGAAAGGGGGCTTTGGAATAAGAGGCTTTGAGTCTATTCATGGTACTCACTTTAACAACATGTGTTCTCTGGAACTAAAATCATGAGTTTTGCACTAGCGTAGCAAAATGTACAGAGCTATACAAATCCTGAATTGTTGCACAGATGGAAGGGTATAATCCATTACATCTTACTCATAATAGGAGTATTTATACGACTCCGAGTTGTATTTCAGGAAAAAAAGTGATCAATATAGCTGATGTACATGGAATATGCATACATCCTAAGTCATCCAACAGGAAAGCAATCTTTTGTACATGCAAATATGATATTTAGCAGAGGTTTGACAAAACTGGATAAAAAGTTTTCAGTGTTGATATTTTTCTTACAAAAATGCATTGTTTTGTTACATAAGACCATTAAAACACTTTTTAATATGGATGGATGTGCTTTGTTGGACGTTGGTGTATGTTGCCATTGTAGAGGTTGAAAGTGGAGATCTTTTAAAAAAATAACTCAGACTGGATTCAACTGAACCAAGAATGTTATGCTGCTAAGATGCCTTGAGGGTTAGTATTATAAATCATGGTCTAATTTAAATTTCTGGGTGAACTAACCCTTTAAACTAGGTAGTAGATAAAATAGAGGTGTCCAATTATTTTCCCAAAGGGCCACTGTCCCATAAATCTTAGCTCCATCCAGCTACAGCACACTTGCCAAGAAGCTTCTAGTAAACTGAATATATGAACTGGTTAGGATGTGTAAAATTATTGCTGGCTCTAATCTAAAAATGGACATGAAATTCACTTCTCATCAAACTCTCCCTAGTCACGTTAAACCTATGGAGTTTAAAATCTAGTCTTATTAAACGATGGGGCAAATTATGAGCATCTTAAAATGATTGTTAAATCTTTGGACTGAGTGGAAAAAAAACATGCATTTAACAAAGTAATAATAATAATTTCTATTTGGCAGCAGAAGAAAAAAACCCTATGCCTACTGTTGAATGAAAACATATAACACTAGATCCGCCTAGAGGGATTGTGGCTGATGGGATTAATGTCAGTAAAATGTCCTCAAGGGTTATTTCCTCAGAGAGAAGAGAGATGAATTCTGCCCCTGTTCTATACATTTAGTTCCAACCAACTCCAGCACAATGTCATGTAGTTTGTTTCTGGAGAGACCTTAATTATGTGGTGTAGGTGTGTTTAAGTAGGGTAAACTTTATCCTACAATAACCTTGTTCCTGAAGCCTCATAAGATTGATTATCTGGGTTTCCATCACCCTGTGTTTATGCTTATTAATTTAAGTATCGATTGAGAAATGAATGACCTAAATGCCAAATTTTGAATACAATGGTTTTTTTTTACACTAGCTTTAGCTGGATTTGGACTTTTCTGAAAAATAATGAAAGATGAAAAAATATTTGTTGAATAAACTCTGACATAGCGAACATAATGTAAACATGTCTTGTTTACTGTTGGTTAGTAGGTTACCAATACTACAGTCAGTCACTCTAACGACTTGCTGTAAATGCACTTGATGTGTAATTTTTTCGAGAACTTTGAAAAGATTTGTTTCACACTGGGATGGAAACCTGATGATACTGAGATTGGAAACATAAATATAAATGGCATTTCATTCTGCAAAAAAAAAAATAGTGTACGTTTGTACAAAGCGCACACAAATATCCGCTATAATGCATATATTATAGTCTAGGAGTTGCTAGATATTTGATTCAGGTGTGTTTGATTAAGTTTAAAATGTGTTGTTGTGCATCCCTGAGGAGCTTTCGCTAATTCTGTCATTGCGAGCAAATCCTTAGGCTTTGGGCCCATTTGCACCAGTAATCACCTTAATGAAAAGCCCATTTGCAAATGGGAAACACTTCACTGCTCCACCTGCAAACCTACGGAAAGGACAATTATGACACTTGATGGTGTGTCATTGCATGTCCATCTTGTGTTAGCAGATCCCTCTTTTATTTCCTGTACTTTGTCTTTTCTGTAGATTTATTTATAGTCTGCCTTCACAGACGCCTCCATCTTTTCCGCCACTCATTCGTCTCAGTACATCTGTCATTGTTTTCAGAGCCTCTATCACAAAAGACGACCAGCGGCAGCTCTTTGAACAAAATGACGGCCCAAACACCAAATAACACTCTCAATTTGCAGCCGTTGGCATGGCTGGTTAAACAGCACAGCGAGAGGAAAGCGGTAAACGTGTGAAGAGACCCTTGAAGAAGCCGAGAGACAGACGGCGAGGTGGAAAGATGACAGGCATAAAATAAAAAGGAGAAGGGGAGCTTCCGGTTCAACTGATTTTATTTACAACAGGGCAGGGAATGCATTTAGATTAGCTTTAGATCAAGAACCTTTTCATCCACTTTACCCCAGCGGAATATAAAAGCTATTTATATGAAATAATGGGCTAGAGATTGAACGTCCAAGAATGATTGTGAGATCTCC